AGACCCTATTCTAAGTAAGAAGATGCTATAAAAGGTAATAAATCAAACACTAATAATGTTTCCTAAAGTATGCATGAAAGTTGCAAACGAAATAAACATAATATCCCTTCTAATTCTCCATCAGATCGTCTTTTGAAATCTCATTGTCGAAGGCGTAGAGAGGGCTGAAAGTTGATAAAAACTTGTGTAATTAATTGGACCCCGGCAGGCAATTTCTGTGCAACTATGCTTTCTGTAGTCCCTGCTATCCCTCCTATGCCAGCAACAGGGAATCCTTAGACAACCACAACCGGAATGCAAGTTGTGTGAGAGTTTGATTCCCCACAAATGAGAAGTTTCCAAGCTTGAATAAGATGCTGAGATGGTTTCAAAAAGTTCTCAGTTGTCCAGTTAATACACAAGCATGATGTAATTATAACGTTTTACACGTTTTGAAATTTCCTTGAATTTGTGTAAGAAAAGGAAAAGAAAAAAAATTGGAAAAGAAAGAGAGATCTTATCCTCCTCCTAGGGGAGACTTGGTCACCCGTCTCTCATTGTCTTTTAGTAAGATGCTTTTAGAATTCAGTTTCCAGATCTCTTGGGTTGCAGACTAAATCTTGGCTTATGGGGGCCGATGTACTTTATGATATCATTGTTACTGGTAAAATAGCAACACTTCTGATTTTGTATTTTTGTAGGAACAAGTGCCAATTGGTTCAGCAGAAGTAAGGGCCGTATTCAGCAGCGGCAGCGGCCGTGTTGCTGGATGCATGGTAACGGATGGAAAGATAGTGAAAGACTCTGGAATTCGTGTTTTGAGAAAAGGCAAAGAAGTTCATGTTGGTGTCCTTAGTTCTTTGAGACGGGTCAAGGAGCTTGTGAAAGAGGTACATTTAGAAGTCTATTTGTCGCTTCTTTCTTCCTCAACGAGCTTTCTTTACTATTTGAAATGACGTCTTTTTTTGTGGTAATTCAATAGGAAAAATCGCTGTAATTGGTTTAGTTGTTCTTTGAAATATTATCCGCGTTGTCTTAATATTTCTTTGTTGAGAATAATATGTAAGCAACTCTAGAGGAGGTGAAGTGGAAATGTGTTTGTATATTTTTATTATTATTATTTTTATTTTGCTCTTTTCCATTTGACAGGTGAATGCTGGACTCGAGTGTGGCATTGGGGTGGAGGAATTCGATGACTGGGAGGAGGGAGATAGTATCGAGGCCTTCAACTCCGTTCAAAAGAGACGAACACTTGAAGAGGCATCGGCCTCAATGACAGCTGCACTTGAAGGAGCGGGTATAGAGCTGTAGAAGAAGATATCATATCATAAATTTGAACCCAGTTGGATTTTCCCGAAGAATGGCCAGGAATTTGACACAGAGTTAACTCATCGTGGCCTCGTCCTCATCCTAGTTTTATGCTTCCGATTAAAGATGCAGACATTCTCACCCTCGACTGTATGCTGTTTGACTGTAAATACTCGTATATGTTAGACTTGAGCTCCTTTTTGTAAAGAGCAACAGGTTAAAACGTTCATCTATTTCACAAAATTCAATGGTGATCAATACACCCCACATGTAATAGTTCAACTTCCATTGTGCCTCTATAGGATCAATTGTATTCAGTTCAAGAAAAGAAGAAATATATTTACAGTCAGATTTTTTCCCCAAAAAAATGAATCTACTGTTCCGTTTGATACACCATATTTTCCATGGATTTTCATTTTCCAACTTTTGTAGTGTTTGATAGGCAAATTTTTCTCTAGAAAATGTTTTCCAATTTTTCAAATTTTTCACCTTTTTGAGGAAAATAAATTCTTGATATTTCGGTTGGTAAATATTTTACAGGTTTTTTAAAAATTATTTTTTTGGGAATTGTAATTAATTGTTTTTTATTGATATAATTTTCCACCTGAAATATGTTGAAAGTTTGGTATCCGTTTGATTTTTTTTATGAAAATTGTCAATTAAAGTGATAATTTTTCTAACATTGGATCTAAAATTTGTTCCAATTGTCAAAAAAAAATTACCGTATCGAATACCATTCGTTTGACTTTATTTTGCATGAAAATTGTCAATAAAATTGATTTTTTTTTTACTATTGTATTTAGAATTTTTTCCAATTATTAAAAAAAAAACTGGAATGGTGGAAATTGTTTTCCCCTTAAAAGGAGGAAAATGGCACGTGAGAGTGAAAAGAGGAAAATCAAATTGCCTAGAAAATAAATGATATCCAACACTCAAAAAGTGAAAGTTGGAATACTTTTTCCATGGAAAATAATATGGATCAAACAGACCCTTAGAACATGTTTGATGGGTAATATATTCCATAGAAAATGTTTTTCATTTTTCAAGTTTTGCGGTGTTTGATAGGACAATTTTTGCCTGAAAAATGTTTTCCTCCTCTACCCCTCACGCACCTGCTTTCTTGAATTTGGAGGAATTGCATTTCTTTTGTTTTTTGTGAGAGTTGATTTTCCAGATTTTTTTTTTTTTTTGTCAATTGGAAAAAATTTTAGATACAATGATAAAAAAAATTATCACTTTTATTAACGATTTCCATGCAAAATAAAGTCAAACGAATGGTATTCGGGTATGGTAATTTTTTTGGCAATTAAAACAAATTTTAGACCCAATGATAAAAAAAATTATTACTTTACTGGACAATTTTCATAAAAAACGAAGCCAAACGGACATCAAACTTTCAACATTTTCCATGAAAAATTATACAAATCAAACACAATTAATTATAATTCCCAGTAAAATAATTTCTAGGCAAATCAATTCTATGTAAAACATTTTCTTTCCACTCATTTTCTACACTTGCAATCAAACGGACCCTACAAGTTTCTTGTGCTTTCTATTGTATTATTGTTTAATTATTTTTATTTTAAAAATCAAGAAAAATAGGAAATTAAATGAAAGTATTTTGTGTCATGAATCTCACGTGTTATTTTCTCTCACCAATCGACTCTTAAAATAACTCAATTAAAACTATCAAAACACAAAAATCTCAATAGAAAGCCCTATTTTTCCCTTCACGACTTCAGAATTGACTCAATTGAGGTCACTATTACTCAAGAATTCACATTTGCATTCAAAAATCAAAATTTAATAACTCAATTTAACAGTATCAATTAATACAATGAAAAACGCAAAAATCTCAATGAAAATCCTTCTCTCCACCGACACGATTGCATAATAGACGTCTTATACAGATAATTAAGGTCACTATTACACAAAGTCAAGTACGTGAATAAAACACTATAAAATCTTAGCATTTCAAAAGTTACATATGAAATGACACATCAAACGAGTTTAACCAAATGCAACATTCAACAAATAAAAACTAATCAAACTAATAACGTTACATATAATTTACACGAGGCTGTGCACGAATAATAAAGGTTGTTGCACCCAAAATGGCATAAACCCTGTTGCGCCCAAATTGGTATAAGCCCAATGGCCCAAAAGTAAAGAAATGACTGAAGCCGTTTGCAGAGGCGCATCGGCCGAAGCCTAGAAATTCCGAGGCACCATTGCCCGAAACCTATACCTCAAATCGAGGCTCAATAAGGCAGAATCTGAAGTTCAACTATGACAAATGGTGACCTACGATCAAAGATCTTAAAGTGCATAAGATCCTCTTACAATGATTGATCGGACAACTACAATGAGTAGAAAGGGTTAATCATGTCAACATAGGAACACCTCAATGTCGAAACTCAAGAGAAAGCGGAAGCACTAAACAATTTAATAAAGTTCCGATGCTGAAGCACTACTTGTCTAACTGAAGCTCCGAAGCCTATACCTCAAACCGAGGCTCAATAAAGTAGAATCTGAAGTTTAACTATGACAAATGGTGACATACGATTGAAGATCTTAAAGTGCATAAGATCCTCTTGGAATGATTGATTGGACAATTGCAATGAGTAGAAAGAGTTATTCATATCAACACAGGGAATGAGTTGACAGCTTTCTTCAAAACCATTTAATACGCCACAATCTAAAACAGTAAAAAATGATGCCTCTGAGGTGATGTTTCGATCGAGGAGATGATGCCACGTATCCCCTCATCAAATGGTTATTATTGTATATATAATACTATAAATAAACCCTCTTAGTATCATAGCAGGGGTTGGAAAGATGGAAGATCGATAACACAAACATACTCTCTCTTTCATGTTGAAATTTTGAAAAGAACATTGTGCAAATTCGGTGTTTATTTTATTTCTTTGTTAATCATTCATTATCGTATTTTGTTGTTCTTTTATTTACTGGATCTCAAACATATTTGTCTCATGTCGAAAGCTTATCTCACGTTCAAACTCAACATTTTCGACTAGTAATCTGTCAACATGTATCAGAATTAAATTGCCGAGAAGCGAGTGTGCCCGATATTGTTGGCACATTTTTTCTGTGATCAACAAATGTCACAAGTCAAATTTTCATTAAACTCCTATTTGAACCACATTATTTTTTTCATTATCATTCTTCTATTCATTTTCAACTACAAATTTTTTAATAAAATAATATTTTCCATCACATCAATAATTTTTCCTTCTTTTTCAATCACATATTCCCCATCACATCAAACAAAAAAAAATATATTTTTGGACTCAAAATATGCACCAAACTTAGGCTAAAACTCTAAATTGAGGTATCAAATTAGGTACAAAGGATAGATCTATCCGTATGACATCAAAAATCACTTTTCACGAAGTCATTTCTTAAAATATCAAAATCAAACTGGCCATAAATTTTGTTTCTTGTTCATGCGGGCTGCCCTCAAGAGAGAATTTTGCCCGGTTCGGATAATTCAAATTTCAAAAACAGCGTCTTCTTCAACAAAACGAATTTAACGGCTTTCTCCTTTTGATACTCGATCTATAACATTAATGATTCAACAAAAGCGTTGAATTCCCTTTTCACCTTTGATTACTTATTACTACCACTCTTTTTCTTTCATTTCAAATCTTCAAAAAGAAAATTAAAAGAAAAAAAAAACTGTTTCTTTATCAATGGAAAATTTTGAATGGAATGACCCACTTCTTATAACTGACGTTGCTTTCCTGCAACAGCAAGATCTTACCCATACTAACTCTCAACCTCACTCTAAGTGTAAGAAAATATATTTTAGATTCGAGGGTTCGTGTTTATTAGTACATTTTATTCAAAGAATTTTTTTATGGGTTCTTTAATTCTTGGTTTTGCTTTTATTTGGCAGGCATTTTTCCCACGTTGTGTAGCTCAGAAGCTTTAGTCATGGAAAATTCCGATGACTCCAGTCGAACCGAGATTGATGGTATTTAGTTCCACATTTTGAATCCTGAAAATTGGTAGTTGTAAATTTTAGATTTCATGAACGTATCTCGATCAGGTTTTGCTTATTCTGATATTTCTCTGTTAGAAGTTCAAGAAAGTTCCAATTTTTGTTAATTAGATTATAATTTGATCGAATTAATTGACTTAATGGCTTAGAACCATTCAAATACATATATCTAGTTTGACTCCCCTCTTCAAATCAATAATCTTGATTCATTTCAATATGAACAATAATTCAAGCTTGCCTTTTCTATTGATTCCTACGGATTGGTGAGCTAGCCAGCGAGGGTAGTCCAGAGCAGTGACAGCGTCAAAAGTAATAACTTTTCTTGATTATTTCAGGCAGGTCAGTGATGGGGTTTTCTTTGGCATCACCTGATCTGGTAATATGTATGGGTTCGCCTGATGTTCCTAGTCCAAGATATGAACTTTCACCTGAATTTTATAATGGTGATATAATTGATGTCTCTTTAGAAAATGGAATCAAGGGCTCTGAAATGAAAGAATCCCTTGAGAACCGGGCGGGAAATTATGAAGACATTTGTACAGACTCCTCTTTCGAGCTTGTTGCATCACCATTCGTGGAAGAGAATTCTATCAAATGCTGCACTCGTGTTATGAGCATCAACGTTGGATCAACAGATAGTATAAGGTTCCAAGGAGCAGTACAGTTTTCTGAAGATAGTTGTTTCAATGGAGGTGATATTGTGAGGACAAATGATCCCATAAGTGGGGATGGAGAAGGCTTTAGTCTTTACCAGACTGCACGTTTTGGGAATTGTTCGTATCATTTTGATACTTTAGAACCCAAAACTTATATGGTTGATCTGTACTTTGCTGAGATTGTATTTACTGATGGTCCTCCTGGAAATAGAGTTTTTGATGTTTACTTACAGGACAAAAAGGTGTGGATTCATGGGGTAACAAACAATTTCATACTTTATTGTGGTGCATAAAATGATCAAATGTGTTAAACTAGTTGAAACTTTGCAGGTTGTATCTTGCTTAGATATTTATGCTCGTGTTGGCTCAAATACACCACTGGTGATATCTGATCTTAAAACTTGCATTAATGGAGATGAGGGATTGTCTATTAGATTTGAAGGAGTAAATGGGAGCCCAATAGTTTCTGGTATTTCCATTAGGAATTATGCTTCAGCAGGTAAATTGATAATTAAGTGTTATCTTGCACTCAACTGCTTAAAAGATTTATGAACTGCTAATGAATGCATATATATTTTACCTCAGAGTCTGAAGAGGTCGAAGGAATGGGATTGACATACATGCCACAATGCGAGTCACCACAAGTAAATTATATTTTTGCGAAACCTATTAAAATAGAAGTTTTGGCATCAATATACTTGAGACTCATCTTTTACCTTTCATAAATTACACGTGTCTAGGATATTGGTTATGGTTCCGTGGATGAAGAATTCCATAGGCTTCAAATAGAGAATGAATCCCAGAAGAAGGAACTTGCAGAAACAAAAACGGTTTTAGAAGAGGTTAAGAGAGAGAATGAGCTCAGAAGCAGAGAATGCCAAAAAGCTTTGAAGTCTTTGAATGAGCTTCAGAATGAGCTTATGCGTAAATCAATGCATGTTGGATCTCTGGGTAAGGAAGATCATTTCTAATTAAATTTATAGTCTATATAATTAGATTTTGTTCTGATTTTCGATTCTTCAGCCTTTGCTATTGAGGGTCAAGTGAAAGAAAAGAGCAAATGGTTTTCATCACTGAGAGACTTGACAAGAAAACTCAAGGTAGTCTATAGTGTTTGTGATGCATCTCGAGTCAAACAAACGGATTTTTATTTTTATTTATGGAAATTCTTTTACTACAGCTTTTGAAGATGGATCATATCACGCTTTTAGAAGTGGCAACATCTTTTAAGCAATGCATGGCAGATATGGACAGTGTTAGCTCTATCATTCAGTCCAAAAGTAATTTTTTGCATATCTTAGAAGTAAGTTGGTTATCAATTAAAAATTAGTTAACTTGTTTATAATTTATACTTGTGCATTTGTTGACAGTAAATGAGCACACACAATTATATAGTGATGTAAAAATTAAATTCCTCAAAGGGGTCAACGAGAGGAAAGAACTCTATAATAAGGTTCTCGAATTGAAAGGTAAGGAGATTATATTTTTGACCATCTGATATCAAGTCAGGCATGAAAATCAAAAAATGCTCATATTTGACAGTGATGACTTTCTCAGGAAACATTAGAGTATTCTGCAGGTGTCGGCCTCTAAACCTTGACGAGATTGCTGCAGGAGCTTTAATGGCAATTGACTTTTCGTCGGAAAAGGATGGGGAATTAACTGTTAAATCAAACGGAATATCTAAGAAAATCTTTAAGTTTGATGCTGTCTTCAGCCCTCAAGCAGACCAGGGTAATTGCAAAGAGACCACGTGCTTTTCTATTTATGATACTCCATTTCATTTGCTAACATGTAGTTTCCATTCCTTTGTACTTGTACGAGTAGCTGATGTTTTTGAGGATACATCCCCACTTGCAACTTCAGTTTTAGATGGATACAATGTCTGCATATTTGCTTATGGTCAGACAGGAACCGGGAAAACTTTTACAATGGAGGGAACAAATGATAACCGTGGGGTTAACTATAGAACCCTTGAGGAGCTATTTCACATCATTGAGGAGCGAAAGAATACATTCCGATATGAAATATCTGTGTCTGTCTTGGAGGTTTATAATGAACAAATACGGGATTTATTAGTTTCAGGGTCACAACCTGGAGTTACTTCCAAGAGGTAGGCTGAGTATAAAATGCATTGATATGCTTTAATGAAAAAAGTCATTTGTAGCTTAAACAACATGGCTGGATACATTCTTCTCTTTGATCTCTCTTATTCATTTTGAGGCACGCGTGTAGATTACAATTTAAAAGACACACACTTATTTTAGACGTAAATTTTAAAAGGTTACATCATTTCATTTTCTTGGTATATTATTGATCTTCAAGTTTGGAAGTTACTTGGGGTGTGTGTGTGTGTGTTTTATCATGTTTGGCTAGTAAATATTTATGTTTTTTAGGAGATAGAAATTTAAGTTGAAGATAATTACACCGCACGTTAACTGAATTTTTCTATAGCTTAATTTGACTACACTTCGACTATTGGCAGGCTTGAGATAAAACAAGTAGTTGAAGGAGGACATCATGTTCCCGGGATTGTTGAAGCTCGTGTGACCAATGTGAATGAAGTATGGGAAGTCCTTAGGACTGGCAGTAATGGAAGGGCAGTTGGATCAACTAATGCCAATGAACACAGTAGCAGATCACATTGGTTTGCTTTCTTTTTGCACCTCATTCCATTTAATTGGTTTCACAAAGGCAGATTAATGCTGAACACTTGTGGTTTCACAAATGCAGCATGCACTGTGTGATGGTGAAGGGAGAGAATCTAATTAATGGAGAATGCACAAGAAGCAAGCTATGGCTGGTTGACCTAGCAGGAAGTGAGAGAATAGCTAAGACCGAAGTGCAAGGTGAAAGGTTAAAAGAAACCCAGAATATTAATAGATCGCTATCTGCACTTGGAGACGTGATATCTGCTCTTGCTACTAAGAGTCCACATATTCCTTTCAGGTATAGATGGATTTATGCTCGTTGAAGGCTAAAAATACAAAAATGCTCGTTGAAGGCTAAAAATACAAAAATGTGTCAGTGTCCATACTCGAACAATTTAAGCCTTTAGATGGGGTTCAAGTCTTTTTAATGTCCACTTATAGCTATGCATTTTATGATTCTAGTTTCCATATATATCTATCTAAATCTTCTTTAACCATTACAATGTAGGAACTCCAAGCTCACTCACTTGCTTCAAGACTCTTTAGGTAATAGTTGTACATGTATAAAATTTGTATCATTTCAGGTTACATAGCCTAAAATGGAAGCTAAAAATTCTGGATTCCTATCTGCAGGAGGAGATTCAAAGACGTTAATGTTTGTGCAGATCAGTCCCAATGAGAATGACCTGACCGAGACTCTTTGCTCGTTAAATTTTGCAAGTAGAGTTAGAGGAATAGAGTTAGGTCCTGCAAAGAAGCAAATGGACAGCACTGAGCTCTTCAAGCACAAACAAATGGTAATAGTATCAAGTTTAATACGAAAGAATACTTCTAATGTAGAGTTTGTATCTTTATCCTTAAACATCGGCTTTCTATGTAGGTTGAAAAACTTAAACAAGATTTGAAGAGTAGGGATTTTCAAGTTAAGAAGATGGAGGATATTAATCACGGTCTTGAGGTGAAGATAAAGGAGAAAGACGCGAAAAACAGAAACTTGCAAGACAAGGTACGTGAAAGTGCAATTTCTTTTTCACTTTATTGCTGATAAACATTAAAATTACACCACTGATCAAATTTCAGATCAAAGAATTGGAATCGCAACTTTTGGTAGAGAGGAAGCTAGCACGGCAGCATGTAGACTCTAGAATAGCAGAACAACAACAGCAAGAGGAGGAAAATCGCGAAAATTTGAGAGTACCATTTGCACCTAAAACAATTGGTGTTCATAAAGCTCAGTTCGAAGGTAAAGATCAAGTGAATGTAACTCGTCCATTTGCTGAGAACAACAAATTCTCAACGCGCTCTAATCTTACAGATGGACTTGTTAAGCTCAATGATTCGTCAGAGAAAGAAAATAAACCTGTTATGGTTGAACGGTTACCATTGCCAAAGCGTACAGGCAGAGCTTCTCTTTGTACTACAGCACAGATAAGTTCTGCTGCACTAGCTCAACGACGCAACTCTTTAATTCCATTACCTAGTTTGCCTGGGACAACCAAGCCTCTTCCGTTCCTCCCCTTGACACCAATCCAAGCAGATACGCGAGAACAGGTCCAAGAAGTTGAAGGTACTCATTCGCCTGAACAGACACCTTGCGAGAGTCCTAAAGAGACTAGAATTGGAAGTAAGAAGCTGAGCAGCACATTGAGACGAAGCCTTCAGAAGAAAATTCAAATAAAGTCTCCAATGCAGCCACACATGCGAAGAATTGGAGTAAATGTTGGAATGGAGAAGGTTAGAGTTTCTATAGGAAGCCGAGGGAGAATGGGGTATAGAGCATTCCCTGGCAATGCTAGAAGAGTAGTAATAAAGGATACTCAGCAAAAGCAAAGCACCAGAGAGAAAGAACGAGGTTGGAACATTGGAAAAACAACAAGAACTGTTATATGAGCGATGATTTCTCCAGTTTCTTGTATTTATTAAACAAATAGTGCAAATTGAGAGAAGGGTTCTTTGGGGTGTTGGAGGTTTGCCGAACTTATTCTTTCTGTTAATTCTTTCTGATGATGCTATCATCTCTTTTGTTGCCTTGTATTTCTTTGAAAGTATATGTAAGATTTGGTGTACATACCCTGATAAGAAAATGGTTTTGATGTTTGATTCGGTACTACACATAATGCATCAAATTAGAGAATGTTTGGCTAAAATTAAGGGGTTTACTAAGTAAATATGTATCCGAGTAAGAATAATAAGTTAGTTTGTTAGTAAGGTAAGAATTAAACTATAGGCCATTGCTAATTTGTCATCTCTCATTGCTTTGGTAAGAGAAATGACCGCGATAAAATGCATTCTAGTATTTATCCAATCCATCTATGCTTACAAAACATGGGGCATTCTTACAATTCAAGGGGCAGTTGAAAAACATTTAACAGTTGAGCACAGTCGAAATACGATAGAAACCTAATTTTATTAACTCATTTCAAAAGTTATGTTCCTATACGCATATGATTCTGTATAGCTTCCAATTATGTTGTTTTCTCCAGAAACCTGGCTAGTCGGCATACTTGCTCTACATCTGACTTCAAAAATTAATACAATTACATCTAAAGGTGGTCGGCTACAACGGGAGTTTCACTGACCTGAAAGAACGAAAACATTGCATCAGTAGTCGTTTCATATAGGCTCTTCCATACACAACAAATTTGATTTTCTCTTTTGGAAGAGTAATGTCAACAAAGTATGGTTTACAAGCAGCAGAGAGTAGTTATTTACCGAAGCCCTCCTACTGCATCCTGTACTCTTTGCCATAAGCTAATTTCTTGTGCAGGAGGTTCTGAAGTGAAATTCTCCATTGTCTTCTCAACTGAAGGGACAATTTCTTCGACAAATTTGATGGATTCTGATAGTCGATTAAGCAAATTCACCAAAGCAATTACTTCGTTTCTTTGCAATTGCAGCTGAGAAAGAGAAAGAAAGAAGAGTTAAATTAATGCCTCAAGTAGTATAGCATTAATCCCCGACATATGGAACTTACAGGCTGATTTGGATAGTTTTGACTATCAACAGAGAAAAGAATCTTCAATGCAGTCCCGAGACCAAGAACCTGAAGTTTTCCCCATAGACGACATTTCTCGCATCCTACACAATCCATGATAGCACTGCAGTATGCAGAAGAGTGGCAAAAACTTAGACCCCAAAAATTGTTTACTCAGTAAAATAGAAGAATTTGGAATGAATAATAGCAACTTCATCAATTTTATGACAAATAAACTAACTTAAACACTATCCATTCTCCATTCCCCTAAAAGCCAAGCACAAACCATGTCTGGTTAAAGCTTGCGTTATTGTTGCACAAGCAAGAGGTTATGTAGAATCCAGATCCATTAGGAAATCAACTCTGAGCCTTTCAGAACGATAATCCTCCAAAGCTGATAATCAAGTACATTGGAAGGTAGGATAAAAACCTGATGTTTCGGAAGTGTTTTTGGATCTCCTGCTTCAATTCAGGCCCACTTTGTCCTTTCCACAATTTAGCTTCATCAAATGGAAGTGGACATGCAGCCTGCAGTTTTGGATTGTACAGTAACTGACGCACTAAAGATTGTGCTTTCAGGTCCTCCTGAGCATTACCGGTGTCATACTCGGCCTGCTCCAAGTAATTATTTGCCTGCATATGATATCGAGTGATTATTTGACACTCAGAGAGAGATAATTAAAATCAACTAACAAAATACTAGAAGGGCTTACTTTTGTCACAGCTCGAAGAACAAAGAGGAAAGTGAAATACAAGTTCCCAACACGATCAGGATACTGCAAAACTCGATCATACGCTAACTCAAGATTTCTGCCCCACTGAAAGAGAAGCAAAATGATTTGGTACTTTGTATTACAATCCAAAACAAGATGGTTCAAGTTTCTATTTTAGTAAAAACTGTGGGTTTAATATCCACGCATGTTCTCAGGTATGGTTTGACTGCTTTATGTCTAAAGTTTCTTCACACGTAGACTAAAGGAAGGAAATGAAAACAGGGGGTACCAGATTTGAAGTTTCATCAAGTAGGTAGTCAGAGGCTATGTGTATTGAAATCGAGGAGTGAAGGCCCGATATTAACTTGTACAAGATTTTTTTCTCCTGGCAAATTTCTCCAGAAGCATCTGCAAAAAACAAGGGGGCATACATTCGAACTTAAGATCATAGTACGAAACATAATTCCCGAGTAGTTATTTTTCATGTTGCAGGGTTATCTGGCAATACTTCAATTGCATAACGAATATCCCAGCACCAACCAAAAGGTAAATAAAGTCAATGCTCAATGTAATTTGGAAATATGAGAACAATAGCAATATACTGATTCAATACGAGGATCAGGACAGAAGGGAAAGCAGAGATTGAAGGAAAAAAAAATCATTCCTTGAAGGAAATCACCTGCATTCTACAAGCTAAACACCATTTTAACAAAAGAGTTAGACCATCTCGATGCACGAAGACGAAACAGCACCAGCTCAAAGGACCACTATAATTCATTCAGTAAGGCGTTTGACATATTTTAGCACTTAAGGTTAGTTCATAATGCAATTCAATGTATATGGGCATGAATCATATCATACAAATTACAATCATCTTTCAAAAGCTCATATGCTCAACAAGATAGAAGCATCTGAAGAAATAATCTCACATTTTGGACAATTTTCTGAATATATAGCATCCCATATCCTTCTGGCTGATGGCCCGCTATAGCCGGTGTACCGTTCAGGATTCAGTTGCAGATTAACATAAGTCATCTCATCTGCAAATGAGAATATATCAATTAACGTCATGTGATTCTCTCATAAAGTCCAGAATCAGTTACCTTATATTTTCACTGTAAACATAATTAACTGAAACACAGACTAAGAAATAAACAACTGGCTTAATCTGATAAACTAAGAGTGTATACGGATTTAGTTTGAGATTCAACGTGCAAATTGCAGAGCAAGCAACAAGAACAAAAATAGAGGGCTTAAGGAATATGCAGTATGGTACAAGAAGAATACAGCAATTACCATTTTCTGTCTCGTCATCATTTGTCCATGGATTATCCACTTCTATCCAGCCCCTAAAGGCCTTAGAGTCTAGAGTGCGATCAACAGCAGCTTGTGGCTTACCCTCTTGACATTTTAAATCATCAGATGGAAGACTATGTTTCAATGGTCTCTTAAAGAGTTCAGGAAATTCATTTTCGGGACATTCACATACACTACAGTCACGCAGCTTGCACATACCATCATCTGGCCAAAACGGGCAGTCACACCACAACTTAACCTGCAATGTTGGATGGAGCTCATCAGGCTTGAATATTAATACAGCAAGTAATCAATATGATCCAACGATAAAGATAGAACTTGCCCAATATGATTTTTAATTTTGTTTCGTTCTATTTTTTCCTTTTCGAATTTCATAAATCGGAAGTTGTGCAACAGTTAATTTTTTTAAACTTAAGAAGTTAAATTTCCTGATTACCGAATTTTTTTGTTAAGGTAACCATAACAAGGTTGTATAAAATGTGAAGAAGAGTAAAAAATAGAAATTACACAAAGTAAAGAAATTAAGCAATTTGAATTACTAAAAATATTTGCCATGTTACAGGAGTTCAGATTTCACTAGCAGCAAAACAATTTCGCAATGATTGTGCTGCAGCTTGTTTTGTTGTGACTAAAAACTCTAGCCCCATTATAGGAGGACATTCACAAAACTAGTAAATTTAGTCTCAGTCTGGTTTTGTCATTCTGCTAGCATTTCCATTTCTAAGAAAAATATTTCATTGGACATAATTACTTCTAAGACCTCAGAATCTACAATCATATCGCAGACTGCCGTGACCGCCATGGCAAGTGAAGATTATCATAAAGTTATAGTATGGGTACAAAGCTGAACTCGTGGACGTGGTCCATATTTGCAATTTTTTTCCAGCGAAACCATTCGACAGTTAATAATGAATAGATTATTCAGTTGGCTAAAAATAAGAACATTTGACACAAGATCATATTAGCAATTGTAAGAATATACACAGTCGGTCATAATCAACCATGCATAATAGTTTCAACTATATTAAATATATTTATTAAAATTTGCATGAAGCCTGTAAAAGAAATTGTCAGAATATTATCTAGACAAACAGATTCTTGTAGACACTATTGGTTTGCATCCAACCTTGAAGTATCGGAAAAATGGAGTAGTCACAAGCTCTTGAAGTAATGGGTGTAGTACTGCCCCATTAAGACTGTCCACTGTCTCATAATCGCAACAGCAGTCCTCAATTATGCCTGTATATTTTCGAGAGTCCTGCAAAAAAGGGCAAGTAAAAGAACGAGATACTTGATCACTTTCAGCCAACCAAATATGTAGAAAATCATTTTTTCCTACGCTCAAATCATCAAAACAACAGAGCAAGCATGTGATGTAGATGCAATAATTATGATCAAGCATCAAGAAAACCAGAGAAATTATATAATGTGCATAATTTAATATATGCTGACTTTATCTTAACAAGCCAGTTTATCTACACACAATCTTGTTTTAAAGATTCTAAATGCTTTCATCTTATAAGAGTCCAAAAAAATTCTCGGACAGTCCCAACAAAATAAGCCTAATCCAATCAATCTTCATTTGGCGCTATCTAAGATCTGCAAAGTTGTTTGAATCTATAGAAACCATTTTGTACTGAATTATGCAGAAAATTAAGTGTGTACCTCAATCAATTGCCTGTAAATCCAAAACTTCCAGCAACGGATACAAGGTGGAATAGAAATAGTTATCATCTCATAGTGTTAACCAATGAACATCAATTGGGAAGGAAATGCTCATAGAGGCTATACCAAATAGTTACTCAAAGGTTGATATTATTCTACCATCAACATAACAAAAGGTCAACATTCTCAACTCTTAACTAAAAAGAGTAGATGTGGTGATTTTGACAGCAAACAAAGTGGAAAACTTTACTACTGCGCAATCAGTATAATTACTAATTGATTGCATGAAGTACTCATTAGCTTACAAACATCCAGTTCAGAATTTCACAATCACACAATCTAACATCAATTTGAAAAGGGGTGATTCTATTCAACCAATTTTCTCTTTCCCCAATTATGCTATATCATCTCATCAATTCAAGAAATTCAAAATTGCCATACCCAAAACAAGAAACATGCACATATTACACAACCTCCCTACAAGAAAATTGATAGCTAAATTGCACAAAAAGAAATGCAAGAATGATACCTGAGCACATCGACAGGACTTGGGATTCTGGGCATGCTTAGATGTGAGTGCTATCGCCACCAACACCACCAGCACGGCCCCTATCGCCGCCCATTTCTTTCTCCCTCTCCTCCCTTCCTTCGACTCCTTATTCCCTACGATCACCCTAGCTTCCACCATCTACAATAAGCCTGCAAATCTTCTTGGGTCTATATGTATCTACAGACAAAACCCACAATCTATGATTCTACAAATGAGAACAAACAGTTTTGTACCTTTCTTGGGTTTTTGGGAAATGTACAAAAAAAAATTAAAATAGAAACACGTAGACACACAGATTCAGCGCAAATTGAAATAGTCGGGGATCGGTGGCGGTTTGAAATAGTTAAGGGGGTGGGCTCCCTACTCGAGATGTCAGAAAATGTGTCGGAAATTAGAAGACGTGTCCATATGAAATGGAGCGTGTAGTACACCTTCTATTAGTGCGACTTGGATGAAGAGAGAAAAAATGGAAGCTTTAATGAATACAATCAACATTAATTGACGCGCGAAAAATTTAGTCAAATGACGTTATTTGGATCAATAGGAATTGAGGATTTTGACACGTCAACGAGTGGGTTTAGGTTTGGTAGATACTTCCGTTAAATTTCGGAAATAGGAATTAAAGGGCTCTGAAGATTGAACATCAAGAGATTTACGGTATTAATGGGCCTAGGTTGGGCCAAAATATGAGGGAGGGATAGTGGCAAAGGAGATGCTTAAGGGCTCGTAGGAGGAAAAGCCCATTGGCCATGGGTTGGGATTTTGTCGCCGGCCTATTATTTCAACCACATCTCGAATGGGCCCAGGTAGTTTGTAAGCTCATAGGCTAGCTTATTCGGGCTCGGCCCAAGGGAAACCCAAGCTTGAGAACAAATGGGTCACATGTCGAGCAAGGTTCAGAATTCGGCACACGAGTTGAGCCCACACATTTGTGTTTTCACAAGGCAACCCGTGCTCGACTCGTTTTTCAAGTAAGAAGCTGCAAAAATGCAACATATTTGTCGATTTTGCATCTTACATAGTCTATTGACAGCATGCTTTAAAATGTTACTTTTTAGATTAAAATAATGTAATATTTTAAGAAAAACAAATTTGAATAGCTTTTGGGCCGCCAAGGCCCAAACTGGCCCATGCAGCCCATGAGTCTAATTGGTGGGTCAAGCTTTAACTTTTTTTCCACGAGCCAAGCCTAGCTTGTGTGATGGCCCTATCAGAGCCCATGCTTAGAAGTCCACCTCATCCACACTTTCATTCCTTGTAAGGGAAGATCACGCCTTGTTTAAAGAGTACAACTCGTAATCGTATGTCTCTCACGTCAGGCGGCACCCAATATCTTGTTTCACACCTTCCTTCTCGTTAGCTGAACCCTTGATCCACGTATTTTTAATATATTAGGTATCTAGAAACAAAATCTTCCTATAGCCATATCTATCCATTGGTAAAGCTTTTTGAAAAAGCCTAAACACACGATATTAAAACAAGATTCCAACAAGTCAGAAAATAAACTTTGCAGAAAAATAAAGATTGAACACAAGAATTGTTTCGGCCTAAACCCCGAAGGTTTGACGACCAAATCCAACGCCGACATCCCCCGTTGAGCATCCAAATAATGAATATTCGTTTGGTTGTACTAATAAGCCAAGACCTCGTATGAGTTTTTGGACAAAGATTAGTCTCAATGGGGTTTTGGTGTATGGTAGATCAGAGAAAAAATCGAGAAACCCTAATTCGGAAAAAAAAAACTTTTCGAAAGTTAGAAATATCTCACCCAACGAGTTTCAAGAAACTCAATATCTTTAAGACTTGCTTAACAGCAGTTCCAAAAATTTGTGATCTGTAAAAGATCGAACTCTTTCTACAAAGATCCAGGTATCTTGTTCTCAGTTCAGGTTCTGATACCACTGAAAAGGCCCAAACACACGATATTAAAATAAGATTCCAACAAGTCAGAAAAGTAAAGATTGAACACAAAGAATTGTTTCGGCCTAAGCCCCGAAGGTTCGACGACCAAATCCGTTGCCTACATCCCCCGTTAAGCATCTAAATAATGGATATTCGCTCGGTTGCACTAATAAGCCCAAAATGGCAACAAGTTACAAATAGTTCTTCCAAATACAAGAGAAAGACACAAGACACTTATCTCTTTCCATAGAACTGCAGATCTAAAGGGAATCACAAAGAAACCCCACAAACAACCAACTGAAATCGTGATTACAAGAAAATTCTAATCTCATAGCAATCGCTCAAAATGACAGATTACAGAGACTAACAACTAGTTTGATCTCAGTATTACAAGTTCATCATGAGAGATGAAGAACACGAAGGACCCAAACCCTAATCTACAAGAAAATGGACTCTTAGAAGAACCCAGAAGGAACGAAGAACTGAAAAGGCAGAACAAATGAAAATATCTTCCACTGTACACGTATTTATATCACACATCACCAAGGCAACAATCCAAGGGCCAGAAATAATCCACGTGTCACCATCTCATAATAAGTGCATCATTAAGAAAAATGCATCTAGCAGAAACACGATTTTAAGCCAATTTTGGGAGCACATCATAGATCACATATTCGAGCCCCAATACTTTTAGGTAAACTTCATTTCATGACTTCCTTCCTTAATCACGTCCCTCTAGTTTGTGAAAAGTCTTAGTACTTAATTAGTCAATTATCCCCAAAAAGAATCTTCTAAGCTGGAGGCAAATTCCATTCATTGAACTAGAGGTTAGTTTTGTTGCATCCATATTATAAAATACGTTCAATTTTAGTTTGGTAGGAAGTTTTTTAGTTGAGATTGTTTCATTTTTGTCCAACATTCTGCTTAGAAACAAAATGAAGATTTTACCCTTTTGGAAACTCATCTGACAGCTTGTCATTTTCATCTCATCATATTATAAACTGGCAAATCCCTTCTTGTCTCTCTTTTGGCATGTTAAATATACAATCACCCTATTTTCAGTGTGTTGTTCCATGTGAGCGTCACTTTCAACAACAATTTGCTTTCTTTCTTCAATGCCAATGGAGATTTCATTTCTTTCTTTCTTTGTCACTGGCCAATGGGGTAGAGTTGCAGCTTAGATTATGGTAGAATAAGAGGCACGCTTTAGCTTAGGAAACGACTACTTTAACTTAAAAAATATATGCCGTCGTTGCAAAGTGAGTTACTCAGTCATGGAAAGAAGATGGGTCTCTTCTGAATTGCCTCGACATTAAGCTTAAGTTTATATACAAGTCTTACAGACATGCAGGCATGTGCATAAAATGAAGAAATGAATCAAACCGAGAGTCAAATTCTAGACTTCCATCGTTTCTGATGTCACGTCGAATTAAACTATGTACAAATTTGTGGACTTGTTCTAAACTTCTTATTTGACATATACTAGTATCTCCTGCTAATCATGGCTTGTCTGTTGACATTTAAGGTACCCATTTTTTGTGGGTCAGCAGACAAATTGGAGCCCTAGCCAACTGTATATGTGCAAAATTAAGTATCCCTTTCCTTCTCCTTAGACAACACATTAAACTTGGGGCATCTTTTTAGTTGGGGTTTTATTTTGATTCTAAAGAAATAATTTTGTATTCATTTTGTGGGATCTAAGTAATGATTAGGAGTTTATAAGACTGACAAAATAATGAATATTAACTATGGGAATTGATGATGCATGTGGAATTCTGCAGAAGCAGAGAGCAAGTTGCAAGATTAAGAAATTATAAGTTTAGATAATTAATTAATTAATTAACTACTATTTTAATATAATAAAGTTGAGTTCAATAATTAATAAGATTGGACAAATACAATGTATCTGCAGAAAGGGGTGAAAATGTTTTGGCTTCAATAGTTTCCTTCTACCATATCTTATAATTGTGCATTGAATTTGGCTTAATGAATAGTTTCTTGACAAGTTAATGCATTCAAAGGTCACAAATCACAGCTTTTTATGTGGAGACTAAGGTGCCAAGAATGAGTTCTTTTGGATGTTTGTAGCTAAAGACATTATGACCACTCCCAACGGGTTTGGGTTGGGGATGGTGATGGTGATGGTGATGGTGTTGGTGTTGGGGTAGATATGGAAATAATTTCGTAACTACTATCTATAATACGGGTCACGTTAAAGATGACATTTCAACAATGACAATGTTACAAAAATTGAATCGAATAAGCTAGTTTAACTAGAGAAATCTAAGCCGGTTGGGAATTTAGTTCGATTATGTGTAACGAACTAGAAGTTTCAACACGCTCTTTAGAACTCCATTCAACTATAAAAAGAAGGAAAAAAATTATTTTTAATTTACTAAGCCCCTTTTTGCCCTCTACTTTTTTCAAAACTCATTTTTTTTATAACTCATTTTCAATCACATATTCTCCCATAAAATAATTTTACACGTAAACTCAAAAAATTTCTCTTTTTTTAACCACACATTCTCCAATAAATCACTATTCTAAAATACATTTTCCCTCCAAAAAAAATGGTTCACAAACAAGCGAAAATTCAACTTTTTGACAACCAGTTCGATCTTACTTCAACTCTTTGGCCTTTTTTTTTTTTTTTATCTTTTCGAGTCACTATCCGAGCCAATGTTTCGAACATTAGGCCAGTATGCTAAACATGTCGTAGATAAATACATCTTCTCTTCAACCATGAGCATCTAATAGTCACATTTGAGATAGAATCAAGCACAAGCATTCCACATATATAAAATTATACCCATCTAGTCTGAAATTTATTTGACAAATACTTAAACTCGGTATTTATGTAAAAATGAACGCGTTTGAAGATAATATCTCTAACATAAGAGAGTGAGACAAATCAACCCAAGAATGGAATTGCATGGGTCTAATGATGTGATCTTGTGGCCCTTTTCTAAGGAGACCAATTGGACATACAACATCATATGTCTCTTTCTATAATATATCATGGACAAACATTGTGCTATGTCCTAAAGTAAATGCACACACATTTGTGCACATGCATTTGCCCTAGCTATGGACCTCCCTACGAATCGAAGTTCTTTTTGCACAACACAAATTAATGATCGTGTTATTACAATAGTGAAATATGTCCTAAAGTAAATGCACACACATTTGCGGCACATGCATTTGCCCTAGCTATGGACCTCCCTAAGCCTAGATTA